AATGGACCGGAGCCTCCTGCCTGAGGGGAGCAGGTCAAACAGACTGTGTCCAGGGTGAGAAGGGTCAGCTGAGATCCGAGCTGCACGCCGCAGTGTCCTGGAGGTGTACAGGTCCTGCAGAGATGGGAGTCTGCAGCCAATCACCTTCTCAGCAGAGCGCACAACACGCTGCAGTCTCTGTTTGTCCCTGATAGTGGCTCCAGCGTACCACACGGTGATGGAGGAGGTGAGGATGGACTCGATGATTGCAGTGTAGAACTGCATCATCGTCCGTGTTGGCAGGTTGAATTTCTTCAGCTGCCTCAGGAAGTACATCCTCTGCTGGGCTTTCTTGATGACGGAGGTGATGGTGGGCTCCCACTTCAGGTCCTGGGTGATGGTGGTACCCAGGAAGCGGAATGAGTCCACAGAGGTGATGGGGGTGTCAGTCAGGATGATGGGGGGGAGTGGGGCTGTGTGCTTCCTGAAGTCCACAATAATCTCCACTGTCTTCTGGGCATTCAGCACCAGGTTGTTGTGGCTGCACCAGGACACCAGACGTTCAACCTCCCTCCTGTAGGCAGACTCGCCTCAATAGCCCAGACGGTGCCTGGACGATTAGCTAAGCCTCCGAGATGACAAGCGGTGGTGTCATCTGCGAAACTTGATTAGCTTGACAGACTGGTGGGTGGAGGTGCAGCAGTTGGTGTACAGGGAGAAGAGCAGAGGAGAAAGAACACAGCCCTGAGGGGAGCCGGTGCTGATGGTCCGGGAGTCCGAGACATTCTTTCCCAGCCTCACATGCTGCTTCCTGTCCGTCAGGAAGTCAGTGATCCACCGGCAGATGGGATCAGGCACATTCATCTGGGAAAGCTTGCTCGGAGATGGTCTGGAAGGATGGTGTTGAAGGCAGAGCTGAAGTCCACAAACAGGATCCTGGCGTAGGTTCCTGGGGAGTCCAGATGCTGCAGGATGAAGTGTAGGGCCATGTTGATGGCGTCATCTACAGACCTGTTGGCTCTTATGCAAACTGCAGGGGGTCCAGGAGGGGGGCCGTGAGGGTCCTGAGATGGGAGAGAACTCAGGCGCTCAAATGACTTCATGACCACAGATGTCAGAGCCACGGGTCTGTAGTCATTTAGTCCAGTGATCCTAGGTTTCTTGGGGACAGGGATTATGGTAGGAGGACTTGAAGCAGGCAGGCACATGACATGCCTGCAGTGAGGAGTTGAAAATGCCAGAAAACACTGGGGCCAGCTCGTTTGCACAGTGTCTGAGGGTGGCAGGAGACACACCGTCTGGGCCGGGAGCTTTCCGAGCATTCAGGTTCTTAAACTGCTTCCTCACATCTGCTTCATGAATATGAAGAGTTGTGGTGGGAGGAGGTGGTGTGAAATCCTCTTTTGTGTGGGGTGAGGAGGGGGGTGTTGTAGGTGAACAGTTTGAAGGTGGTGATGGCTCTATGGAGGGGGGAGAGGTGGGGGAATGAGTGTCCAAAGTGCCTCTATTGTTGGGGCCGTTGGAGGTGTGAAGGCTGCCTGATGGCTCGTCAAAACGACAGTAGAAGTCGTTGAGGGTGTTGGCTAAGAGCAAGTCGTCAGTGGAGTGGGGGGTTTTAGGCTTGTAGTTGGTGATATTCCTAAAACCTTTCCACACAGAGGCCGAGTCATTCTCTGAGATCTGCTGCTGCATCTTCTCAGAGTGCTGATGTTTAGCAATGTCCACTTCTTTAGTGAACCTGTACTTGGCCTCTCTGTAGCAGTCCCTGTCTCCGCTTCTGAACGCCTTTCTCTTTTCCAGCCACAGCTTTTTGAGTTTAGGAGTAAACCAGGGTTTGTCATTGTTATAACTCACCCTGGTGCGTGATGGCACAATGCTGTCCTCACAGAAGTGGATATAGGAGGTGACAGTGTCCGTAAACTCGTCCAAGCTGTTAGAAGCAGCCTTCATTGTGTCCCAGTCTGTAGACTCCAAACACGTGCGAAGCTCCTCCACAGCCTCGTTGCTCCACAGTTTTTTAGTCCTCACGACAGGTTTGGAGAGCTTCAGCCTCTGTCTGTACGCGGGGATTAGGTGGATCATGACGTGGTCAGAAAGTCCGAGTGAAGCGCGGGGCACCGCACGATAGGCCCCGCTGATCGTGCTGTAACAGTGGTCCAATGTCCTCTCCTCTCTGGTCGGGCATTTAATATACTGCTTGTATTTGGAAGCTCATGGCTCAGATTGGCTTTGTTAAAGTCCCCAAGAGCAATGATGAGAGAGTCCGGGAATGTCCGCTCCATGTGGAGAATCTGCTCCGCGAGTGCGCCCTGAGCTGCCTGCGCATCCGCGTCTGGCGGGATGTAAACAGCGGCCAGGATGAATGAAGCAAACTCCCGCGGAGAATAAAACGGTTTGCAGTGAATAAAAAGATATTCCAGAGAGGAAGAGCAGTGCTGAGCAATCACTGTTACATCTGTGCACCAGCCACTATTGATGTAGAAGCAGAGCACCTCCACCTTTGGATTTACCGGAGAGAGCGGCCTGCCGGTCCGCGCGCAGCAGATGAAGCCCTCCAGCTTGAGCGCGCAGTCTGGGATGTTCTCACTGAGCCACGACTCCGTAAAACATAAGACACAGGAGGAGGCAAAGTCTCTGTTCATGCTTCTCATCAGGGCCAGTTCGTCAATCTTATTCCCGAGTGAGCGTACATTAGAAAGGAAGATCCCAGGAAGAGCGTTCGCAGTCCGCGTCTCCTCAAACGCACGAGTGCGCCGGCTCGCTTCCCTCTCTTTCGGCGTCTCGCTTTCCTGGTCAGAGTCAGCAGTAAATCTGCCGCAGATGCGACAAATATTGGAAATAAATCCACAGGCGTTGTAGTCCTGTAGTTAAGGAGCTCTTCTCTGGTGTACGAATATCCAGAGGAGTGCCCAGACACAGAAGAAATGCACAAAAACAAAACAAAAGTAACGCACTGAAGCACCAGGGCGACCATCCGCGGCGCCATCTTGTCCACATTGTCAAGCTTGTGTGTCAATTCTACATCTCTCCATGTTTTCTGTTTTATTTTGAAGAGTCTAGTGTTTCCATGTTCAGTGTGTTTTGTTTTACTTCCCCCGTGGCATCATGTTCATTTGTGTCAAGTGTGTCTCCCCATTAGCCTCCTGTGTATTTAAGTCCTCTGTCTCCTTCTGTTCTTTGTCGGGTCATCTGTTTATGTCATGCCAAGCCAGGTCAGGTCACAGAGTCTTGTTTTCTACTGTTCAAGTTCATGTTCATGTGCAGGTCAGGTTTAGTTTTCTTCACGTTCACGTTTCACATGTTCCTGTTCAGTTTCATGTTCTAATTATCCTATTTGCTTAGCTGCTCCCAGTGTAGGTTTAGTTCAGTTTTCCCTCATTTTGCTGTGTTTTCTGTTTATGTAATCAGCTACAATAAAGGCTTGCTTTTTGTTATACCTTGGTTCATTTATCCCGTGTCTGCTTTTGGATCTGCTCCATAAATACATGACAGGTGGACTCCAGCTTACACTGGAGCAGTTTGCAGCCGCGTGTCATCTGGTGGGAATTAGAATGAATACCTCCAAGTCTGAGGCCATGGTCCTCAGATGGAAAAAGGTGGAATGCCCACTTAGGACAGCAACTTGTCCCTGACCCTGTGTAGAGCGGTTTAATTATCTCAGGGTCATTTTCATGAGTGAGGAGAGAGGGGAGCACGAGACTCCCTTTTGTGTCTTCCTCCTCTCACCCCAACCAGTCGCAGCAAATGGCTGTCGCTCCTTGAGCTTGGTTTTACTGGGGATTGCTTCCTGTTAAAAGGGAGTTTTTCCTTCCCACTGTCATGACGGATTGATGTTGCGGCTGGAGTGATGCTGCACCGGTCCATCGTGGTGAAAAGAAACCTGAGCAAGATCATAGAAACAAGTGGCACAAATGAGCTTTCTCTAAAGGATGGCTGGGCTCTCTCTTCGATATTAGTGGTGTGTAATACTGCTTATTTGGTATGATCCAATACCAAGTAAATACGGGCCAGTATGGCCAATACCAATACCTTTCAATAAATAAGGTGGATGCGTCATGATCTTAAGTGTTTTTTGTGATGTTTCATTTTTATTATTAAATAGTTAAAACCCAGGACATAATTAGGACAAAGTTTATAATTAAATGCAAAATGCTTTATGCATTGTGGTGGGGTGTGTTCTGCGATGCTGCTGCAGGTGAGATGGACTCACCTGCACAGCATCTGCAATCACGCCTTGCTGGCTTGAGCTCTGCTAGTGTTGTTGTTGTTTTTGGTGGTGATGTGTACAGCTGGCAGCGGGAGAGCTGCAGCCGTTGAATGTAGTGTTACAGCAACTGTGAGATTATTAGAAAAATAAATGATGCTGCGAAGCATAACATGTCCTTGCGGTCTGCGCGTGGTGAGTTTAGTTATCAGTTGTTTTTTGTTTTTGTTTTTTTAGAAAAATCTTAAAGTGCACGCAAACCAATGAACAAATTAAAACAAACAAGTACTGTCTGAGAAACTATAACACAAAAAATTACAATTAAATTCTCAACAACAAAAACAACTGGTGAAAATATAATTAATATGTAAAAATTAACAACCCCCAAAACATCTAAGTCAGGTCACATGACAGCGCAACACCTAAGCACAAGAGGGGGGAGGGGCAGTAAAATGTGTCTGCTCTGCACTGACACGGGAGCAGCGAGTCCAGCAACCTGGCCGTTTTGTCTTTGCCGAAAGCACAGTATTGCAAACAAGAGCCGAACTTAAAGTAAAGAATCTCTCTCACCAGGCTAGTATCGATCCGATACTGATGCCAAATTGGTATCGATACAATCTGCCTTGAGATAATGCCTTGGTGTTCCCCTAGACAAGCTAGAGGAGGTGTTTAGGGAGAAAGAGGTATGAGCTTCACTGCTGCTGGACTCGGATAATTGGAAGAGAATGAATGGCTGAATGAATGAATAGATGGATGGATATATCTGAAGAACAAAAGTAATAATTTACACAGATTATTGATGTTAATCTGCACTCACCGAGCCTTTCTGCAGTTCTTCACAGCTGGAATCAGTCTCAGTCTTCCCTGGTATGATGTGTTGTACTTCTGCAGGTCCAACTCATCCAGAACCAACTCGGACATCTGCAACATGTAGGCCAGAGCTGAGCAGTGGATCTCAGAGAGTTTGTCTGATCTGTTCTCTGACTTCAGGAACTCTTGGATCTCCTGATGTACTGAGAGGTCGTTCATCTCCATCAGACAGTGGAAGATGTTGATGCTTCTTTCAGGAGAGATTTCATTATTGTTCTTCCACTTCAGGTTGTCAATAACACTTTGGAGGTTTTCTGGACTGTTCTCTGTCTGACCCAGCAGACCTCCTAAGAGTGTCTGGTTGGACTCCAGACAGAGGCCATGAAGGAAGCGGACAAACAGGTCCAGCTGACCACTACTACTTTGGAAGGATTTCTCCATGACTTTCCACAGGAAATCATCCAGAGATGAAGATCTCTGTGCAAGCGCCAGAGTAGAATAAGGCTTCTGAGACACCCACAAATCATTCAGAGATAATTTCCTCTGGAGAATCATTTCTGGATCATCAAACAGATCATAATCATAATCATTATGATGATCATCCTCCCAGGTTTCACCAAGAAAATACTTCAGCACATCTGTCTTCTTGTTGATGTGACAGTGGAACATGTAGACTGCAGCCAGAAACTCCTG